ATAACATCCTGAAGGAGCACCTGCCCTGATGTGCTTTGATTGATAACAGAGTGAAGTTAATGGTCCATTATGCAAACAAGAAAATGTGGGGCCTGAAAAATGTCCTGTTCTGGGTTTATCCCTAATTATCACCAGCAAAGGACACAATCACTTAGAGAAGCTTTAGAATTCCCATTAATTTTTGGGAATGAATCCACTGGATCTCCTTGCCTGTCACCTGCACAGGGAGTGGATCTGGAGAAAGTTCTAATCAGAGAGAAAGCCAGGGTCAGGTCTGGCCAATATCTGCCTTCATCAAAGAGCACAAATTGGCTCCACTTCATGTGACATTTCTTTAAAGAAGCCAGAGGTACTAATTTTTACATAATAAATTATTAAAGTCAGTAAAGTATATAAATTCCTTTCTAGCCACAGGTTTTGTATGTTTAACTTAGAGTAATGAAGAAGTTTCTGTTGGTTAATGCATTCGAATAACGATGGGAATATTTTGCATTTGTTTTGGTTGAAAGAGTATTTGAGTCAGTGTGGAGCAGATGGAGCCTCTGACTGTAAAGAGTAATTTTCAGTATGGCAGGACAGGAAGAGTCTGTTTATTTAAACAATATCTCAACAATGGGCCTAAACCATTGTTTTGCTCTTGTGGAGCAAAGTGATTTGAGGGAAAAAATAGTTCACCTTTAAATATTCCATGAATAAATTTGCTTCCTAAGAGGCTGGGGAAGCAGGAAATCCCAGAACCAAACAACCCTACAAAAACAAAACAAAACAAAACAAAACCACTAAACAAAAAACAAACAGACAAACAAACAAAAAAAAAAACCCAAAAAATCACCCTAAAAAAACCCAACCCACCAAAAACATAACCCAAACAAAACAAAAAAAATATAAGGGAGACACTGTAATGCTCTGATATGAAAAGAACTGGGATGTGAACCAAATATTCCTCTCTGGGGGTGGGATTAATTTTCTAATTAAAAAGTGAAACTATTATGATGCACCTATAATTCACCTGGCATCAAGAACGAAGAAATTATGGGAGTGGTTGAGGCAAACACTTCTTAAAGAGCAAAACTGGTGACTGAGGATGGTGCTGCTTAGGACAGATTTGCTGGCACTGCAGAACTGTGAATTCTCTCTCTCAGGGCGCCGTGGGGTTTTTGTGCTTCTATTTCTCTTCTCCTCTTGAGAGCACTCTGATTTACTTTTGTGATAAACCCCTAACAACAGGGGGATCACGTTGCTGAGATGAGTTTGGCTCTGAGGGATCCATAATGTCAGCCCAAAATAGCACTGGGGAAATACGTTCTGGCCATGGCTCAGCAGCAAGCGGCTCCTGGCACTCCCTGATGCCCTGGGTGCTTGGAAGGCTCTTCCAGCTGAGCAGGATCACAGAGCCCTTTGCTGGGCCCTCGTGGGTGCTGTGCCTGTGGGATGGATCACCTCAATTCCCAGTTATTCTCGGAAGTGCCCTCGAGATGGGGAAGTGAGCAGTGGCTGAGTGTCTGTCCAGCGCTGTCCTTGTGTCCTGGGGGAGGGAACAGCCTCCCCCAGCCCAGGCTGGGGTGGGATGCTCAGCTGGTGTCTATTCTGAGCCATCTGCCCACAGAATGACCTGTCAGCTCAGAACAAGGGAGAGTGAAATAGGTAGAAATTGGATGAAATATTCCTGCCTTAGCCATATTCCCAGTGGGTGGCTGGTGGGGTCCTGTGCTGCCTTAAAAACCATTTCCTAAGAATGCAAAGCCTTTATCTGCAACATGTAGCCACTGCCATATGGTGCAGACGTTTTCAGTATTAGAACCTGCACTGAAGTTCCTGAAGCTGTGAAAAAAATTATGGAAATATCTGCTTGTGACTGGGCTCCAGGTAGCAGTGACTGTGGGATTTCATTGATGTATTTTCGAAAAGTAAAAATGAAATCCCAGAGTAAACATTGCAGCAGAAATAGTCTGGCCTTGTTTTATCTCCACCAGGATATTGGGAAAGCATTGTTCTGCAAATGCATTGTGAGCTAGGAAATTTTCCTGTGGACAGGGCTGTGTTTGTGCCAGTGCTCCAAATCTCAGCCTTGCCAGAGGAGATGTCAGACAATCCTCCTGTTTTCTTCCTTGCTCTTGCTGAGGCACCAAACCATATGGCAAATTAAGCCTGATTTTTATTAAACTTTTCATTGTACTGAGCTCCGTGTGAACTGGGAAATGCACTTTCTTTGAACTATGCAGCCATTATATAAGCATCTTAATTAGGAGCTGGTAATGTTCTCGCTGACATTCCTGGGAGTTCGCGGCTCCCTCTTGTGGCTAATTAAGCTTTTTAAAGGAACCTTCTGAAAAACGACTTTTTGTGAGCCGCCCACAGCTCCTGGGCAAACGCTGCCGTGGTGCCCCGAGCTGGGCTGGGCTCTGTGTCCCAAAACCAGCCTGAAGGGGCTGTGCAGTAAATTGATACAAGGATAAACTGATAAAAGGAAAAGCTCTGCAAAGGGTTGCACGGTGAACGTGACAGATCCCTGAAGTCTTCAAAAAGCTGAGAGAGCTCATCCGGTCGTTTAGAAAACCTCTGCTCTCTGGTCACTCTTACATACATCAGATGGTGAAGAAGGGTTTGCAGCTGGAGTTGGGATGAGATGTGGGATGTGCCAGCTCCAAGGAGCACAGACCTGTCAGGCACCACATTGGGATGCCTCACCACCAAATTCAAGGTGAAGATCTTTGCCAGATTTGATGTTGTGAAGAAATTTTCCCACTGGTTGGGGTTGCAGGGACCACTGCTACTACTACTACTACTACTACTACTACTACTACTACTACTACTACTACTACTACTACTACTACTACTACTACTATTATTATTATTATTATTATTATTACATATAATAATTATATATAATTATTATATGTAATAATATAATAATATATAATATAATACATTATTATATATTGTATATAATATTATATAATTATTATATTATAATATAATAATTATATATAATTATTACATATAATTATTGTAATAATATTATTATTATTATTATTACATTCTTGCTTTTCTATCAAATGTGGTGAAAAAATTCCATATGAATATCCGGGTTTTTTTTTTTTTAATTCCCTTTCAGAGCTCAATATTTGTTTTTCTTTCTTAATGCGGACTGCTACAACTGGGGCTTTGTGTTTATACTGCGTATTAAATTTGTCATAAACAGGTAATGTTTGGTGGCTCTGGTGGAAATGGTTGTGGTATAAACACCTCTGAGTTCGACTTTGGTCCTGGCTTGGGGCTGATTTCAGGCCTTTCAAGACATTGTTCTTATATGAGAAGGTGCACTTGCCTCATAAGAACTCTCAGACATCAGGGCAGAAAAGAATCAATTCATCTTTGCCCTACAAAAGTGAGAAATGGTCATGACATTACAAAATCTCAAGCATAGCTTTATGTTAAGAAAAACTCATATTTTTAGGCTTGATGTAAAAATACCAGAAATTGGTCCAAAAATGACCCGAACAGCAGGTAACTTTTCAGTAGGAGCCATTAAGTTTCAGTTTCATCACCAAACCAGAAGTCTCAAAGTGTCTTTGCCCCTTTGTCACCTGCAGTGTTGTCTGCCTCTGTGTTTTGTCTTACTCAAAAATACACAGGAAGAAAACTTCAACCATTAGTGTTTCTGAGTGTTGGAAGGAGGGAGAAAAAAAGAGGTGAAACAGGTTTTTACTTTGAAATGTCTCCCTTCCCCAAAGGGTTTGGAAAGCAAACTTTTATCTGTGAAAATGCTGATTTCCTATTTCATAACTCGTGGCAATTTTTTCTCAATTAAAATAAAGGAACAATGATTATGGAGTTAAGTCAAAATCTCACTGCCCAGTAATCTGCAAACCAGCATTGCCCAACCCACAGCAATAGGGCAGCAAACATTTATTTCCTCAGGGACATTATTAAACACCCTGCATATTTATTATCTCAAAATTGGAGAAGGTCCAGATTTCTAAGGCCACTTTCTCCCTTCCTCTTCCTGAGCTGTAATTCAGACCAGAATATAAATTTTTTGACTTAATGTTTCTGTGGAAATCAGCAATATGAAGCTGCTAGAAACAAAAGAACGAAGAACAGCAGAGGGAAGAAGTGGCTTGGCAAGATTGTCAGCCTTAAAGGGCAAGATTAATTTATAATCCCTCAGATTCTGGTGTACAAATACAAATTTGCAAAGTGTGTAGCTTATAACTGACATTGTGTGGCTCTGCAGGTTGGTAAATGTTACTGTCACTTATGGGAAGCTGCCATGAAATTGGATTTTTAGGGATTTTGTTCTCATGGCAAAACAAGGTGCTATTAACAAGGAATTGCCATACACTTATGGGTGAGTGGATATACATAAACAGGAATTTGGGAAGTGGACTAATTCCAGCTAATTCAGGAGTATTTTGGGCAGGATATTCTGATATTTTCATGCAGAGATTTTCCCCTTGATTTAAAATCCTGGAAAAGGAAGGGTTTGAAAGACAAATGAGGGGGAAAAAAAATCCCAACCTGAAAGTAGTGTGTAATGACTTCACAATGACAAATAAAATACTGTGTGATAGTTCTCTGGTATGGTAAGGGCTGTTGTGAAATAAGAGTGCATCTTGGCAATCAATACAAAATGCTTTTTTTTGCAAGTTTGTAGCTGTTCTATCAATTTAACTAAAAAGAAGAAATAGCATTAAATGAAATGTCAAATTCTAGGCATAGAGTGAATTCAGTGATGGAATAACAGAAACTTTAAGTAGTGAAATTGAAGACACCAAAGATAAGATAGGAACTGGCCAAGAACATGAGTAGCTTTCCCAGTGTTTAACACAAAAATTGCACAGTGTCTCGTGAATGATTGAAATCATATTTTATCGTTACATTTTATGGGCAGGGAACACAGCTCAGCATTAGCTGAAAGACTGAAATGACTTATGTGTTTGTAGGATGGGTTTAAAAGATTTTACAATGTGGCCCATCTCTTGTTTCCTGCCATGCAGGTCATCAGAAGTGAAGGGACAGAGGGAGTGAAGTTTCGCCTCTCTGGGAAGGGAGTGGATCAAGACCCAAAAGGAATTTTTAGAATCAATGAGATGAACGGGGACGTCTCGGTGACCCGAACCCTCGATCGAGAAGCGATTGCCAATTACGAGGTGAGTGCTCAGAGATAACATCTCTGCTCTGTGTTGATAGCATGCGTTTTCTGAATGTGCATTTGCTCCTGAAAGATCTGCAGGTAAATTGAAGACTCAATTGCAGCCACTGTGATAGGAAATTTCAAGAACCGTTGGAAATGGTAAATGTGTTTGTTTTTCACGCAATTGAAATTTGTCTGCTTTCTGCACGGCCTTTTTGTCATTTATCTTCAGTGGAAATGCTGGCTGAATGTTGTGTATGCATTTGATTTCTGAATAGAAAATTTTGTTTGGACAAAGGAAGATCTTTTGGAGTAGTTGTCACTATGGTACTACAAAATTATTCATTTTTATTGTCAAATGGTCAATTGAAACTACCACTGAACTCCATTTTTAGTAGTGGGTGTCTTTAACAGAGATAAAGAACATTCTGATGATATGAAAATGTTACATATGAAATGTACATCAACTAGAAAGATCTTACAAAAGATTCTTTTCCTTATCAATAAAAACGTTTCTCTCTATTGAATACCCAACAAATGATCTCCAAAACCCACAAAACAACTGCCCCACCTTGTCCCAAAATGCATAAAATAAACAGAGGACTGTCAATTCATGTTTTCCATCCAGCTCTGGGAATGTGCACTCACAGAACTTGTCCGTGGCCGCGTTGCTCCAGAGGAGCAGCAGAATTCCGAGTGCTCAGTGGCTGTGCATGCTGCCCTTTGTGTCTGTCTCCCAGTCTGGCAGAGGGAGCACAGGGTGCCCTCCCCCTGTGGGACACGGGCTTGGGGACAGCCCTGACTGCCATCCCTGACCCTCATTTTCATCTCCTCCACTGTAATAATCACCATTTTTACCTCCTGCTTCCTCCCTCCTCTGGGAGAGCTTCCCAGTTTGGTGATGGGTCCTACTGCTCAACCAGCACTGCTAAAATTTACCATATGCTGGTTTTCAACACGTAAACATCTCCCTCCTATCTGGGGCTGCAGTGAAATGTGTGTTAAGCACTTGCACAGGATTTATGGGAGTTGCTGACGTCCTCCTTGCAAGAAAAACATTGCAGTTTCTCTTTTTAACGTTGTTCCTTGTCTTCATTTGCCAGCTGTTTCTTATTTTATCAGTGGATTTCCACCTTAATGCGTTGCGTATAAACCTTGAATATTTTTTCTCCTGGAAAATCATAGTAGACTTTTCAACTTAATGCAGCAAACCACAAATGGCCCTCATATCTGATCTGGCAAAAGACACACTTAAATTAAGACAAACCCATTTCTCTAGAGGAGGCTCTTTGAAGCAATGTAAGTTATGCACAAAAAATGTCATGGAGCAGGTGAGCAATGAGCAATGTGAATGTACAGCCTGAGAGGCTTTGGTGCTTCCTGAGCTGTTATCCTGCACTCTGCTCAGCAACTCACCCCCATCCTGCAGCAAAAAATGGGCTTGGAATGTTCTGAAGGAGAACCCTCAACCTGATCACTCTGTCTCAAATCCAACCCATTATTTTCCAATAAAGATGTGTCATGGAGTCAGGAAGACAACAGCATTTTCTCCCTGATTTCCTTGGTACACTGAATAATGTAAAATATCCTTGAATTTCTCTCAAAGAAGTGTTTTCTGGTTTTGTTTGAGCTTCCCCCTGCCCAGCACAGTGGTTCTGAAAGGAAAAATTCAAAACAAAATGCAAACAAGTTAAAGAGATCATTGTGAATAAATACAAGTTCTTTGCAAACCATCAGAATATCAAGTGTGTAATCAGAGGTGGGGGAGGAATGAAAAAATAAAATCTGTTCGGGTCCTTCAGCTACGCCCAGGGGTGCTCTGCCTGAGCACTGATTTATTTCCTGCACTTAGTGCATATGTGCTCCAGGGCTAAGAACTGAAAAATGTGAATAGGGCACAAAACAGAGCTTTTGTGATCACAGTATTTCACAGAATTTTGCAGATTTTACTACCTCAGAATGTTTTAAATTAGCTAAGGATATTCAATCTGTTAAAATTAATTTTTTTTCTGTGAATGTTTGAAAATTTGGGTTTGCTGCCCTCTTTCTCCTGGAGGAATGCTGAAAAACTTGTAGGAGTTCTTCTCTGGATTCATGACTAGAGGACATGATTAAATTAGAGAGTATCAAACTCTACACAGACAACTTTGTTCATTGTTTGTGTTAATCCCTTCTTTCTATGGTTTAAGTATTTTATTTCTAGTAAGAGTTAGAAAATATTTTAAAATAGAGTGAAAACATCTGTCTGAGGGTCAGGGCCTGGCAGTCTTTTCAGTGGAGCTCATTTGTGTGGAATTTGTGTTTTCAGATGAGTTAAAATTTGATTTTTAGCAAAGGAACTCAAACTGGCAAGAGGAATGTAAGGCAGCTCGTATTAATGACACCACCCTCACCCTCTGAAATAACCTTATTAATCCACTTGGTTTAAGAGTTTATTTCCTATGAAACTTTGTGGTTTGTGCTCTTAAAGCCCAAGAAATGTCAGCCAGCTTCAGTTTGAAGTGAAAGCTGCTTGTGAAGAGGAGCAGGAGGATTCAGGGATGATGTTATGCCCAGCAAAGACAGACTGTGTTAGAAAATTGTGTAGCAACTCCTTTTCCTCCTGGAGAGGTTTGTGAAGGAGCATCCTGATAGGAATTCTGCAGGTCAGAGCACACCCATGGATTTACATGCAATGGTTTTGCTTTGGGGTGCTGGAGCTTTTTGACAAAGCTGCTAAATGATGCTCTGAAGAGGGGCTAAAGCAGGCTCTGGGCACGTTGTGGAATTGCTTCTGGGCTGGTGAGATAAGAGGGAGCCCAGAGCCCCTCTTTAGTGGGAGAAAAAGGTGCTGCATTGTATAAATATGCTCTCAAGCACATTTGGTTTTCTCTTGAGATTTGAATAAATCAGACTAAGTCAGAAATTTCAGACAATGACAAATACTTTATTTTTTAGTATTAATAGTTTATTTGCTACTGGAAAATGCAGATGTGGAAAAACATATGAAGGAGATTGGTGGGGATTTTCTAGCCCAAATGAATTTTCTAACCCAAATCAGTGAGGTGCAGACCATCTAAAACCTGCTCATAATTTATAGAAATTCAGAGTCCACTTCAGACCCATAGTCTTTTCTGATTCCAGCAGAGCAGAAATATTAGTGACTTTTCAGTTCTTTCCTTGAGCAAAAGAAAAAAAAATCAAGTGCTTCTGTAAAGAGATGTGATAACAGCAAAAGGATTGCAGTGGAGCTGGAAGGCTACTTGTGCTCAGTGTTGATAAAACCCCAATGAATTAGGAAACAAAGGGTCAAACAGAAGGCCAGTGAAAATAGAAGTCTGAAAACCACTGATTATGGGGAAAATTGCTATTTAAAACCCCTGGGTTCATTTTTAAAACCTCACATTTACCTGGGTAATGCATTTGTAGGCAGAATGCAAAGAAAAGCAGGAAGAGTTGTAGAGGTAGATCGCCACTGCCAAGATGACAAAAAGTTTCCAAGTTACAAGAGTTCTGTTCTTTACTCCAAGTTAGGTGGGTCCAGAAGAACTGGCAAAAATGTTCCATTATTTTTTTCCTGTTCGTGCATGAGATTTGGGTTTAGGCATTCCTTGGGCCAGAGCCTCCAGCTCATTTCCCATCGCTTCCCCCAGCCTGGGATCCCTGCAGCAGTGAAATCCTGTCCTGCATTCCCTAAAGCATCAGTGGCAAAGTGCCATTGGGGTGTTCCAGCTGGGACTCCAGATTTGAAAGGGTGCTGCCATCGTTGAAAGGCAACAAATGTCTGTGGAAACGAAATAATCAGAAGGTGATCCTTTGCAAGCATGAAATGAAGCAGCTTGATAAAACTGTGTGCAAATTAGAGCTGTGACCAAATTTACCTAGGCAATTTGAACTGCTAATGAAGAGTTAGTTTTAATTATTTTTTAAGTAAAGAGCTTTATTTGCTTTAAAAAAATCCTTGACAATCAGAGGTGTGAAATCAGCCCTCAGCTTTTCTCATAATGGCAGATGACACTTCTGTGAAAGGATGCCTTGCAACTGGTAGTGACAGACTGAGATATTTAGAAAACTTATGTTAACAGGGCTGAAAAGCAAAGTGGGAGTGTGCAGTTCTATGAGGAATTGTTTCTAAATGTTGGCTGACATGTGGGCTGAAAGGAGGCTGAAGATTCCAGACCCATCAGCAGCTCTGGGCTCTGAGCTGCCTCACTTCAGGCACCTGGGACTGGCTCACAGTTGAGGGTGAGGCTGCTGCCCCAGTGGGCTCAATTTCCCTGTTTAATAAGGAACAAACAATGGAAATGCTTCACAATGATGAGGAAAACCAGCTTGGTCAGGTGCTGAGGAGCATTTTGTGGGAAAGATTTGTGAGTGCTTTAATGCATTTTTGCAGATAAGGGAAGTGTTGCTGTCGCAAAACCCTGGAAGTGAATGGCTGTAATTTATCTGTGCAGGAGCAGGAATTTCTCATCTGTGTAAGTCCATTTTAGTGCAGCCACATCCTTTTTGGGATGATTTATCATCCCCTGATGCTGAATCTCTGCTGATGCTGGCTGGAGATCTATGGACAGCACACAGAAGCATGCTGCTATTTCAAAAGGAAAATCACACGTTTGCTTCTAACTTCAAGAAAAATGTAAAAATGTGTTTTAAGCCTGGTTATCTGCACAGGCAGATTTGTCTGGAGTGGAACTGATCTGCTCTGTTCTGAGCTGAAACCAGCTGATGGGAAATGTCAGACCCCAGTCATCTCCTACTAATATCCCAAAAAAAAGGAAGGCGCTCAGTCTTTCGTGGCAAGAAGTTTGGTCTTGTACAGATGTAAATTGCAGTAAAATGTGCTTGATTTAATTAAAGAATCATTAATACACAGATCAAACCTGTTAAAATACTGATTTCAAATTACATCAAAAAATCGTGGAGTAATGGCAGAGTTCAAAGTTTCAGGGAGGAATCCTGACTATTTAGCAAGGGGAAATGAAAGAAAATTTTACTGTAAAAAGAAAAAAGGAGTTCTTGTGGAAGTATAAAATA